GTCTGCCCGTTCTGTCCGGCTTGGGAGCTGGGGAACGGGAACCATGGGGAAGTTTGGCCTCTGTCCACCTGAGGTCTCGTCCCAGCCCCGCCATTCAACACCCGCCCAGGGGCAGATGGAGTCACAGCCCTGGGCTTCGGCCTCCTCCGGCGCCATAAGAAGGCGCTGCTGATCCCGAGAGCAGAATTTAAAGATTATGACCACTAAGCCCCCGGCACAGGCAGGGTCAGCAGACACATCCACCCGGCCTTCAGGAAAGAGGCCTGAGTCCCAGCTGGGGCCCTGAGGGAGGGAGAAGCCACCTGCGGTTAGGGGTGGTGTGCCGGCGTCAGGGGAGGGCTTCTTGGAGGAGGTGGCCCTTGGGACAGGTTCCTGAGTGGACGGAGCAGAGTCTCCAGGGGGTGGGGCAGCTGCGGGGAGGGGAGGCCAGCCCCTGAGGGCCCGGGCGTTCTCACAGCCAGTGGGGGCACTACCCGGGGCCAGGCGGGGGCCGTGGGACCTGGGAGGCGCTGCAGGGGCGGGGCGCCCTGGGGTGCCGGAAGGTGGGGGGCGTGGCCATGGCGGACAGGACCTCTGCGGGACCCGGGCACGCTCTCTCTCTCATTTGGGGGGATTGGACGAGACGAGGCCTTCCCTTGGTGCTCCTGGAAGCCCCCAGACGGGCCTTAATCCTCCTTCCCCAAGGACCACCTGGGAGCTGGGCAATGAAGCAGATCCCTGGGCCAGCCCCCCGCACGACCGGGGTGGGTGTGACAATGGTCTGGTCCCGGAGTGGCAGGCCGCCCGCTCCCCGCAGCGGGCCTCACTCGGCCCCCTCTCCCCGCCCAGCTCAGGCGTGCTCACCCCCGCACTCCCTCCCAAGCCCTCCTGCCCCGCACTCCCCCGGAGCCTTTCACGCCTCCACTCACTCAGCCGCTCACGCCCCATTTCACAGATGGGAACACGGAGGCCTGGGCTGCGGTGATACAAGGACCTTGCAGGGCAGGCCTCAGTGAGTGACTTCCAGAGGTTGACGGCTGCCTTTTTCTTTGGTCATTTTTGTATCATTCTAGAAGGTCTCCACCCCTAGCCTTTTCCCCACAGCAATGGCCTGGGTCAGTGGTCTTCTAGAATGTTCCTCAGCAGGATTCGTCTGTTTCACTGAAGTGTCATTGAACTGGTTCTGCTACCTGCTCCCGTCCTGTAACCAGGAGTCAGGTCTACAGACATGGCAAGAGCCTCATGATAACCTCCCAGCACGCGCGGCTGAGCCTGGGACCGTGCCAGCCCCTCACGTCCAAGCGCCCTGATGCTGTTTGTCTGACCGCCGGCCACTTAAAACCTCCGTTCCCTTCTCGGCCTCTGAGCACCTCCTCTGTGCTAGGCCTGCGGGATGGGGACCATCATGGGTTGGGGACCGTCATGGGTCACGTCCCTCCCAGCGTCTGCCCCAAAGGAGCACGGTCAGCCCTGAGCCCAGGAGTGGACGGGAAGGTGGACTCCGTGATAGAGGGACACGGGCTGGTGGGGAGGGGAGACTGGACCACCGGGCGATGGGAGGAGACGCCTGGGCTGAGTCCGTTGGAGGGTGGGGGTGCACGGCAGGGGCATCGGGGGAAGAAGGGTCAAGGGTCAAGGCAGGAGAGCAGAGAAGAGGCTGAGGCCAGGGCGGGAGGAGCCCTTGGGGGGAATCCGGGTGAGAGGGAGCCTCAGGCTCGCCCCTGGGGAGGGAAGTGCTGCCCGAAGCCCAGATACCCCGAGACCTGGGTGTCTACAAACATACCCCCAGCCCTTCCCGAGGGGGGTGTGCAGCCTCCTTGCAGGGAGGACAGCTCAGCTGCCCCCGGCACCCCCGCCTCATCCTGTCTCCCCTGATATCTCTGTCTAGCACGCCTGCCAACCCAGCCGGCATAAAACCTGCTCAAAACGGCCCTCCTCCTCCCCCTTCCTCCGTCCTCCCAGCTCAGCCCCTCTCCACCGCCTCTTCAGGAAAGCCCTGCTGGCAAAACCTGGGTCTTTCCAGGCTCCCGGGGTCTTGGCAGAAGGCACGTGGGCCCAGAAGTGGCCTCCAGGGTCACAGACTGGCGCAGGGAGGGCGGGCAGGGCTGGGAGCTGTGACACCCCTACCCTGCCTTGAGTGGGAGTCAGGGAGGCCCGTTCTGCCCCCAGGACCAGTGCCCCCTCATTCCCACCAGAGCCAGCCCCCCGGCCAGAAGGCAGTGACCTCATCTCTTGTTGGGCAAGCTCCGTCCGCCAGGGTGGGGCCCCACCAGGTGGAGGCTGGCACGTGTCTGGTCACCTGAGCCCAGGCAGACAGGTGGCTGGGACCCTCAGGTCCCTGTCTCTTGGGATTTTCCCAGCCTGCCCCGGGGGCAGCCACTGGTCCTCTTCTGATAGACTAGGGTCTGGTCTCCCCAAGGCAGAAATTCTCATCTGTGACTCTGCATTCAACGCAGAGGTAAGGACAGCTGGGTTTCAGGGGATGGAGGAAGCAGAGAATTCGCCATGTGCAGGTTCCTAGGGTCCAGGGTGGGGCTGGGGCAGGTGCCCCTAAAAGGCCATGGGGCCGCGTAGCCTGGGAGGGAACGGCTGAACCCACACTGACTTGGGCTCCCCCGACAAGCTGAGCCCTTTCCAGCCCCAGGGCCTTGGCTCCGGGAGAAAGCTCTTCCCTCAGATTCTGCTAGGATCCCGTGCTACCTCCCCCAAGGAGCCTTTCCTGGGATCTGTCCAACACCGTCCGGATCGCTGTCTATCCTCTTGCCCATTTCATTGTCCCTGCAGTACCTGTCATGCTCTGAAGTCGCAGGATTTGTCCGCCGGATGGTGTGTTCACAGCCTGTCCCCTGACCGCTCATCTCTGGGTCACAGCCCGCGCTGGTCTGCCGGGCATCGCTTCTGTGTCAGCTCCCCAGCTCCCTGAGACCCCAGGAGCAGGGGGACAATCCTGTTCTGCCTGTACCCCTGGTGCTGCGCTCGGCAACCTGGAGGACTTTGCCACCAGCAGCCTTGCCCTTTCAAGGATGGGCACCTGAGGGAAACTGGGAATTCTGCCCCCAGCCCCATCTGCTGGGCCCGGATTTGCCCCTGCCCGCATACAGGTTGCAGGAACCAGGGGTTCGTTGTGCCTGTGGACGCCCAGTGCCCTGTGTTCGGCAGGGCTACGCCGTCCGGGTATGAGCTGAACACGAGGGCGAGGGAAGGAGACCAGGGCACGGCCGTGCGGAGGGCTCCCAGGCTCCCCTGGGTCAGCCGTGGTCACACCTGATTGTTTTCCACCCAGACCCTAACGGCCGGCCCCCGCCCCCAACCATCCGCCCCAGGTCTGGGGACACGGTCCCGGTGGAAGCTGAGGTCCCACCTGGTTGGTGTGTCCAGCCCTGCGCCAACGGGCCGCAGCTCCTCAGAGAACAGAGCAGAGACCATCAGAATCAATGGTCTCGGGGTTCCCCTGGCTGTCCAGTGGCTAAGACGCCATGCCTCCAGTGCAGGGGACTGGAGTTTGATTCCTGGTTGGGAGACTAAGACCTCACATGCCGTGCAGCCCAGCGCCCCCTCCCCGCAAAAAAAAGGGCAAAAGCCCAGTGAAAAGCCAAGCAGAAATTCAGTTAAAGTTGGAAAGACGAAACTACCATTACATTTGGAAAAAAAAGACACAGTGGCCCCATTTTACAGACAGGAGAGCTGAGGCAGCATTGTGAGCTAAGGCGACCCTCCCACTTGCAATGGGCTCACCAAGCCTGGGTGACGTGTGCCCTCTGCCCACGGCAGCGGGCATCTGTGCCTGGCCCAGCCTTTCCCAGGGCCACAGAAGGCTTGCAGGGTCAAGGTCCGGCCTCCGATGGCCCCTCTTCGGTCATGACTTTCTCTTTGATCCTGGGGGAGAGGGTGGCCCCTGGAACGCATAGGAGAGGGTAAGGGGCTCCTTCACTGGGGTGGGCGGAGGCCCACCGGCCAGGCATTTGCCCGCTCGCCCCAGCAGGTGTCACGGGGCTGGGGCCACGGCCGTGCGGGGACTCGGGTCCCCTTCTGGGGAATCTGGGGAGCCGAGACTTTTCCCACCGTGGGGAGTGGCACCCTGGCGGGCCGGGGAAGCGGCTCCATGCTGAGCTCAGCTCGGGGCTGAGTCACGCGGGTGCCCCTCCCGGGCGCTGGGGGCGTGGCCCAGCCTCCCTGGGGCTCCCACGCGGCGGCCCGGCAGCTCCGGCCCCAGACACGTGCCCGCTAACGAGTGCGCCACCTGCCTGCCCGGCCGGCCCGCCTGCAAAGGGGCTGAGCACAGCCCTGAGCGCCTGCGGGGAGCGGCCCTCATGGCGGGGGCGGGGGCCCCAGGCATGCTGACAGTGTTTTGTCCCCAACCGGGCTGGGCCTACACGTCAAGCAGGACTGGCTGTCCGGGGTGCCCGTGGGATTCACTGGGGACAGCGTGGCAGATGAGTGCTAACTGTGCACAACGCAGACCACCCCGAGCGTGCTGGTGCCCGTGAAAGGGAGTGGGTGGCCGGGCTTGCAGGAAGGGAGGGTGTGGGCACAGCCTGCCCCGTCATTGGCCCCACAGCTGCCCATAGTGTCTGCCCCGGACTGTGGCTCCGAGAGGCAGATGCGGGAGTGCCCGGCCCTGCCACCTGTGACCCGAGCCAGGCCCCTGGGGGGTCCTCAGGAGCGGCCGGGGGTGGGGGCCGGGGCGGGCCGGGGCGGGCCGGGGCCGGGCGGGGGCAGAGGATCGGGCCTGAGTGCAGCTCTGGTTCTGACGCTCCCGGCTGTCTGATACGGGCTTCAGTCAAATCCCTTCCCCAGCCTGAGCCTCAGTTTCACTTACTGTAAGATGGGTTTAAGGATCTTTACCTTGCAGGGCCGTGGTGAAGACTCAGCAGACTGTCAAGGCCTTTTGTAAACTGTCAAGTGATGAAAGAAGGGTGAGCTGTTGTTCGTATCTGCCACCGGCAGACAGGTCACTCCCAATTCCTGAGTGCCCCCCTGGGCAGACCTGAGCGCCCGGGGCTTCAGGAGCAGAGAGGCTGATGGACAGCCCCCGCGGGGTGGGGGGCCGACAGGTGGGGTCACTGCGCTGCCCCCCAGCAGAACCAGTCCTGCCTGAGGCTGCGCGCTTCCTCAGTTCCCTTGAGTTGGGCAAATTCAGGCGGGAGACAAAGTGTGTCCCTCGTGGGACTGTTCAGAGAACCGTGATGAGGAGAGGAGAGTCTGTGTCGCACAGACCCGGCTTCGAACCTGGGCTTGGCCGCTTCCTCGGGGAAGGTGAGTGTCCACAGGGCAGCAGTGGCCCGGAGGAGTCAGAACCAGGCAAGAGCATGAGGCCACGCCGTGGAAGGGTGGCCTAGCGTGGGCACCAGAGCTCCAAAGGCTGAGAGGCCCATCCACGTGGGGGAGTGGGCCACGGGGTGTCAGAGCTCGCGGCACGTGGAAGCTGGCGGGGCGAGGGGTGCCGGAGCCGGGTGGTGAGGTTCTGAGGAGCGCATCCCCGTGTGCGGGGGTGGGAGCGGGAAACCGCTTGCCAACGAGGCCATTCAGCAACCTGGCAAACACATGCAGGGTCAAGGGAGCCCAGACTTTCACATCCGAGAAGAGGGTTATGGACGTGGAAAGGGAGAACGTGAGAATGGATCCTGGGGCACTGAGTTGGAAACAGGTATCGGTGTGCACGCATAGCTTCCAGTATGAGAGAGAGAGAGCACCACAGATGTAGAAACGTGCGTTATGTACCTGCCCTACCGCGTACGTATGTGCGAATAAAGGTATTTCCTGTCCCTGCCCCCCGCTCTGTCTACAGAGGGCCTGGCCGGAGCAGCCGCCCAACACAATGAGCACGTTAGATCCACAAGCTGGCGTCCATGAGCCACTCTCCACTGGAGGAACTGGGATTCCTTAGCAACACAGCTGATTCCAGGGAGATGAAGCTGGAACAGCTTGTGGTGCCGGAAGTGAAGGAACAACTCAAACAATGGTGGCCATGTGCCAAAACGCCCCAGGAACCACTCGAGGGGTAACCGCTGGCTGATTCTGGGGCAGTTTGACCCTTGGCTTAAGCATGGGTTATGTTCAGCGGCTGAACACAGTAGGAAACGTGAGTCCAGCCTGCTATAACTAAGTGAATAAATGGACAGTTTGGTGAGGAATGGGAGAGGGACCCAGTCTCACAGCGTCTCCTCACAAAATACCCCTTAATCAGAAAGTAGGGAGGAGTCTCTCGACGGTGGAGAAACCAGGCAGACACCACCCCCGTCAAGGGGCCCCGGCTGACATGGGGCCGTGTCATGATGGAACAAATTCAAAACCAAGCAGGTGCCACCTGGAAGAGTCCTGGCACAGATGAGCCCGGCCACGAGGAAAGAGCACCCAAACCCGAATTCTACAAACCAGCTGGCCTGAAATCTTAAACGATGTCAGGGCTGTGAAAGGGAGGGTGAGTAACTCGTCCAGAATGAGAAACCTGACCACTCGGGGCTGTGAACTGCATGCTTTGGCTACAAAGGGCATCGCCAGGACCATTGACAACCCAGCACGGGGCCTGGTGAGCAGAAGACAACAGCGTTTTGAAAGCTAACTTCCTGATCTGATGGTTTTCCTGTGGCTGTGTAGGGAGATGTCCTTTAGAAAGTAGACACCGAAGAGCCTGGGGAGATGCGGCATCGGGTCAGCTGCTTACTTTCCAAAGGAGCCAGAAAACAAGGTCTCACTATTACACGCTCAAATCTTCTGCAAGTTTGAAATTGTTTCAAAGCTTTAAAACTATTAGTATAAAAGCAAATAAATACAATAAACAAAACCAAGAAAAGAACTCCCAACGTGAGAGCATCTGAACGCAGCACTTGGGCAATGCCTGACGCAGTATGTGCTCACCTAATGTCCATAATGACGCTGATGACACGCGAGCGTCCTGTGTCTCCTGGCCCTGGCTTTTCTTTCTGCCCTTCCCTGTCACTTCCCTCCCTCAAAAGTCGCCTCCTCCAGGAAGTCCTCCATGAAAATGTCATTCATAATTGCTTGTATAACTGGGAGTATGGGAGGGCGGGTTGCCCTGGATGAAACTCCATCCCCCAGCCCTCCTGTTCTAACCTTCCAGCCTCCTCTGATCCGGGTGTCTTCCCAGTAACCACTGGCCCAAGGTCCAGACTGTTCTGTCGCTCCTGTCCCAGACCTACAGAAAATCTGGGTCACTGAGTCCATGCCCCTGCCTCTCGCCCCTGTCTGGGGGTGCGGAGCGCTTGCCCTGCACCGGGGGCTGAGCTGGGCGCTTCGTCCGTATCTGCCCGTGGGACGCTTGCACAGCGTCCCGAGGGAGCTGCACCCCACGTCCCTCTCACGGGTGAGGACGAGGAGGCGCTCTCTCGCTGAGTGGCTGGTGACCGGGCTCTGGGCTGCATCTTGACCTACATCTGCTCCTTCTATCCCCACAGCACCGTGTGATGGCTCTTGAGATTCTAAGGGAGCCCGAAGCCTACCCAATTTGGAGAGACTCTAAGAAGACCAAAGCATCTTACTTTTGTAAATGGCCCAGCACACACCAGCTGGGTAGACCCCCTTGTGAACCTGCTGTGGGGGTCCCTCTCGGCGTCTCGGGGGGCTCTGCGAGCCTACACTCCCTTGGCTTCCGGGAAAATCAGCCTGTGCTCAGAGGTGCGAGGTGACTCTCCCCAGGTCCCCCGGCTCACACGGAAGAGATAGGACCTGAGCTCCCGAGGAAAGTGCCCTTTCCACGTCCTCCCCTCCAGCCTCTCTCTCAGTCTTGCCTCATTCTCCTGGTGAACTGGGCCAGTGAGGCGGGTCTCCGTCTGGCTCTGGGGTGGGGCAGTCAGAAATCCAGGCTTGGACCTTCAGAATCACCTTGGGAACTTGTCAAGAACCCTTGGTCCTGGGCCTGCAGCCCCCACAGGAACAGCGTTAGTGGGTCTGAGGCAGGGCCTGGAAATCTGAATTTTCAGTGGGCCCCCCCGGTGAGGCTGGTGCAGCCACGCCCTCTGGGGACACGCTGCTCCTGGGACGCGCCCTTCTGCTCTGTCGCCTCCCTGTGTCTGGCTCCCTGCCAGGCTGGGCCTGGCACCACGGCTGAGCGGGCCTCATCTCCCAGGTATGCAATTAGCAGCCCCGAGAACAATACCCTGTTTTAATCATTACAGCTCCCAGCCCGTCTGGTAATTTGCTGCCTCTTTTACTGCAATAACAAGCTCTGGCTTGGGAACAGGGGGGCGGAGCGCCGGGCTTCCAGCCTAGCCTTCCCAGACACCTGCACAGGGGCCTGCGGGAGAGCAGGAGGGACGCCTCACGCGCCTTGGACAACCTGGGAAGGCTTCCTGGGGGAAGTGGCTGCAGGCTGTCCATCAGCAGGACCCAGACAGGGGCTGGAATTTGGCCCAGTGCCGGGGATATAGTGGTAGACACACGGGTGAACACCATTCAAGCCCTCATGGGGTTCGTATTCTATTAGAGGCCAAAAAGTAGAGAAACGGCTTCACCCAGAAGGCCATGTGTGGTCGTGGTTGAGAGGGGGCCCCATCCCAGCTGCGGCGGGGGCAGGGCTCCAAGCAGGCTTCCTGGGAGGAGGGGATGTCCCCGCTGGGCTGTGGAGGGTGAGTAGGGGTGGGCCAGGCGAAGAGGGTGGGGTGGGCTAGGTGGATGAGTTTTCTAGTCCAAAGGAAGCACATGTGCAGAGACCAATGAGGCATAAGTGCGACCCCATCATCCAGGCTGAGGGCCGGGACCCTATCCGAAGGGGCCTGTGAGGCAGATTTTCTTCTTTTTTCCGAAGACGGCTGTAGCATGCTCTCCCATTTTGCTTGCTCTTCTTCCAGCGTGACTTGACATTTCTCCCCTCCAAAGCTGGGGTCTGCGTCTGCTTCCTTGGGCCCCAGGTGGGGCTTCCTACGTACACGATGGAGCTTGTGGATGACACTCTGTGATCTCCAAAGTCAGTTCATAAAAATGCTTTGCCGTCTTGCTCTCTCAGGATATCTGCTCTTTGAACCGGCTACCATGCTGGGAGGAAGCCCAAACTCATCTGCTTGGAGAGACCCTGGGTAAGTGGTCCAGCCAACAGCCCTGCTGAGGTCCTGCTGATGGCCTGCATCAGCAGCCAGCCATGTCAGCGAAGACCTCTCCAGATGATTCCAGCCCCACCCACAGAGGCACCCAGCACTGAGTTTTCCCAGCTGAGGCCCCAACATCACAGAGCGGACTCAAGGCATCACCGATGGGCTCTCTGCTCTTGACCTACAAGACTCTGAGTGTAATAAAGTGGTGGTTTCATGCGGCTAAGTTTTGGGTAGTTTGGTGACGATGGTGGAGGGATGTTCTGTGGAGAGTGGGTGGGGAGGGCTGAGGCTGGAGACTTCTAACTCCAGCATTGGGACCGTGTTTGCCTGGTCCCCAGCAGTGGGGGGTCCCCAGGCGCGCGGCGCCGTCCAGCCTCCATCCGCACGCAGGCCTCGCCAGGCTGCCCTCCCCTTGGCCTCTCAGCTCTGCGTGCCTCCGCGTTCTTTCTCAGGTCGAAGCGACATCTGTGTCCCTGCAGCATCCCGGTGTTGACATCGCTCTGTCCTCAGAATTCCCATGCAGTCCTCCTCTCCTATCCTGTCCTTTGAGCGCCTGGCGATGGCGGCAGTCTATTCTTCCATAGAAACAGCAGCTGTGGTTGTGTCAACCGCTCCTCGTATGGTTTGAGTTGCAGACATGGGTTCAAGTGGAAGCTTCGCCATGTCCAGCTGAGAGGCTTGGGCTCACCTAACCCAGTCTCAGCAGAGTTCTCTCCGGAGACGGGGAGAACAACAGTGCCTGCCGCCTGTCACCGCTGAGGGCGACATGAGTGGATGAGGCACTTAGTGCAGGGCCGGGGCTCCCCGGTGGTTCAGCTGGTGAAGAGTCTGCCTGCCCTGCGGAAGACCTGGGTTTGATCCCTGGGTCGGAAAGACCCCTGGAGAAGGGAATGGATATCCACTCCAGTATTCCTGCCTGGAGAATCCCCTGGACAGAGGCGCCCAGCGGGCTGTAGTCCATGGGGTCACAAAGAGTTGGACACGACTGAGTGCCTAACATTTTAACAGGGGCTCAGTCAATGTCAGCGCACACAATGGGACCTGACCCTTGTCTTGCTGCCTCTTGTGGCTGTTGTCAAAAACAACCAGGCCGGGACTTCCTGGTGGTCCAGGGGCTAAGACTCCATGCTCGCGGTGCAGGAGCCCGGGCTCGGTCCCTGGTTGGGGAACTAGATCCCACACGCTGCACCTACAGATCCCTCAGGCTGCAACGAAGATCAAAGATCCCACGTGCTTCAAGGTGCGGTGCAGCCCCCCGGAACAACTGAGCCAAAGAGCAGGGGAGACTTTTGCTCACTGCACATCGCCAGGATAGGAGAAGGCCACGGCTGTCCCTCTCCATGATTATCTTCAAAGAACTCAGTGTTGACCTAACCTGCTCTGGGGACCAGGCAGGGTTACGGGGACACTGGGAGGGCATTGTCCTCCGGAGTCAAAGGTGGCTCTGTTCACGGCTGTCACCCTCTCTCCCCCAGCCTGGCTCCCGGCCCAGCCGCCCACGGAGATAAAGTCTCTGCCTGTGCCGTCCCCACGCCCACCACTTCCTTGTCAGGGTGAGGTCACGGTCAGGGGCAGGGACTTTCTGAAAGGGCTGAGGGTGCTGAGGGGCTGGGCCTTGGTGGGAGTGGGGTTCACAGATCCCTAGCCTCACCTTTGTACACCAACACCCTGCCGCCTCGCTGTGTCCAGGGTTCCCTGGATGTGACCTGTGACTGTTGAACCAACCTGGATGGTGTGCGGGAGAGGTGCAGGGCTCGTGTTGACTCAGGTGGCCGTGGGCTGCCAGTGATGGCGGGGACAGGGTGG